CCTCCAGACATGACAATGTGATATCTCTCCTCTTTCTAGGTGAGCTCTTTTCTGAACTGAGATGACAGATATTTCTGTTACTTTTCCATTTGCATGGAAAATGCCAAATTATAATGTATAATTTTCATTTCACCATACTAAAAAATCCTCCCTTGAAGTCAGTAACTAGACAGCTCATCCCAGAAGTAATTTCCTGATCATCAAATTTTTGAATAAATATATATTTTTATTTGCTACCCCTGCTGGGACACCTATTGGCATCTATGCTAAAACCCTGGAGATTTTATTGTTATTTTTCTAAGATTAATACAAGTCAGCCCTCAGATAGACTTCACACATATGCATTTATCAAGGCGCATCATAGAATCATGAAACCAAGAGCTGGAAGGATCTTTAAGAATCATCAGAGTAGCGATTTGCTTATGTAGGAGGGTGAAAGTTTATAGAAGTTGTCGAGTGTCAAGACGTATCAGAACTTTGTTCAGTCCTGGAAAAAACCATAGAGATTCCAGAATATATCCAAGACAGTGGGCTTCCTGCTCCTCTACCCAAGTCTTTCTGATGCAAGCCTCTCTGAGGTTCCATTCTTCCCAATTATTTAGTTAGGATTAGCCATGGGTCTAATTGAAGATGATCCGGTCAGAATCAATCCAGGACCTCTTGTGGGAGCTTCTGGAAAACATGCCCCCCCCCTTTGAAAATCTCAGTGGATGTGAAGATGCAGGCTCTGGGGCCACTTTCCCCCAGGAGGTCCCTGAGAGTGCCACCAACACCAAGATGTTCTGATGGCCTCATTTGAGCACTAAATCTAGCTGCGGTTGGTGCCTGACCACAGTCACCATACGACTTACTGTCCGACCCAAAACACTGGTGGACATAAGCAGGAGTGCTATTAGTGGTCATTGCAATCACTAAGTGACAGGCATGCATCAGAGCTGTCCTAGCACACTCTTGACCGGCTTCTCCATCACGTGAGACCAGAAGTCCCTTTCTTGGTAAAGCCATTTGGTATTCTTGCCATCAATTTCTTCTGCTTACGTTAGCTACAGTGCAGTTCTGTGACTTATCGATAGGATAACAAAATAATTTGTTCGGGTGGGTCACTTTGGACAGTGAAAGGGACTGCTACTGATAATTAAGTAGGCAAACAGGCACACGCCAGGACTCGGCCACTCAGACCAGGACGCGTGCTCACCCCACACAGTGCATGTCTGCTTGGTGCATGGAAGGTTCCAGGACGAACAAGTCACTGTACCTTCCTCGAGGAGCTCACCGTCTTACCATGAGTTCCCCAAATCATAGTTGCAGCCAAAGATGCTGCGGGGAGACCCACAGGTCGAGCCTGCCTGCTCGGCTGCCCTGTGAATTGTGATCACATATTCAGAGTTTGCCTTTGTTCAGTAAAACCCAGCAGTGGCGAATTGCTGGGCAGAGCAACTGACTGGAACTCCTCCCTTCCCCAGCACCAACTGAAAATCCCAGCCCTTCAGGGAAAAATGGCAGCCGTCTGTGCTTTCCTATTCGAGCTGCCTTCTGTCTCTGCTATTAGAGTTTCAGCCCAGGAGCCTTAGAGACAGAAACCTCCCGTCTCTGGGTCAAGAAGACAGCGGGGATGGAGCCAAGAGAAGGCTCAGTCTCCTCCTCCTTCCTTTGTCCTTCCCAACCTGTCCACTCTGGACCAGATCTGCTCCTGATGCAGGGTATGTCACTCCTGCTCGGCTGTTTTCCTTCTGAAATTGAAACGTGGGTGTCCCTTTCCTCCCAGGGCCTTTACGGAAGTTTAATGGGATTTATTATCTGAGCAGAATCAAACCTGCTGTGTATCGCACACGATTCCCACGGGATCCCAGGGCTGTCTGGGCCATGCCACGGGGCGTCACTGGGGTGCGGTGGGGCGGGATGACCTCTGTGTGCTTACAAAAGCACAAGGGCTTCCTTGGTCCTCCCCTCTATGCATTCGTGGTCCTAACACTACTCTTGCCTACAAAATAGAAAAGGCCCATTTATAAGCCATCTGCCTCCGTTTTTATGAGGCGATGCATTCAGAGACAGCTTCACAAGTCATGGAAAAGGATGCATTTCACAGGCTCACCCCACTCGGAGCACTCCACTCCCCTGTAGGTAACCACTTCACCCACTTGACTGATTTCTAATATATCCTTCATTGCTTCTTCATGCAAATGTAAGCAATATAAACATGCATAACCGTACACCCTCTCCTTCCACACACAAAGCAACATCCTGTATGTTCTGCTCAGTACTCTGCTTTTTATCAGACACTACATCTTGCACATATTCAACAATAATTATTCCATGATGCAATCGATTTATTTTATCCATTTCAGTACATATAATAGAAATTCCATAGTTTTTGTTTGTCTGTGTTTGTTTTGTTTTTAAGCAGTCTCCTACAGAGGGATGCTCAATTGTTTTCTATCTTTGGTTCTCACCAGCAATGTTGTGATGTGCAACCTCGATCATAAGTATTTGTGCACAAATGCCTGCAGCCTAAATTCACAGGAGTGGGATTACTGGCTCAAAGACTAAATGCATTTGCCATTCTTAGAGGTGTCGCCAAAAGGTCCTCTATAGACGAGGTACCATTTCACTCCCACCAGCAATGTTTAGGAATAATGCCTGTTTCCCCATGGCCGTGTCAATATAGGATACTGTCAACTTTTAAATTTTTTGCTCATAAGACAAGCAAGAAATGGTATTATCAGTCTAATTTATTACAGTCAAAACCATCAATATTAAAAACAAAATCTAGGAACCCCAAAATCAAATAGGGCCCCTCACCTCACTCCCTTAGCATCACTGGTCGCACTTGGGGAGGAGGAGAGAATGGTGTGGACCCCGCTGGACTCTGCCACACAAGGCTGCCCAAAGGCAGCAGGGACAACGTGCTCTAGGTTTCACCCAGGTCGCTGCCAGCACCGTCTCCTGGTGTGGGGGGGGGCCCTGAGCTCAGCATGGTTTCACTGGTTTTATTGACTGTTGTGTAGGGTTTGTTTGAAAAGCTACAGAACACTGTGCCGGTCACCTGCTCCATATCGAATGGCCACACACACTGCAGCCAGCCACCAATGCTGGCATCTCTTCCAAAACCTGCTGCAGGGGGACACGTGGAGGTATAATTCCTCTCGCCTTCCTGAGCACTGCACGCACGTGTCGAGTTACCAAGGGCACTTGATGAAGGGTAATATACGCTGCCATCTGACAGCGAGTGGCCTTGTTTCCTTTCCCTGGGATAATATTGAATTTCAAACCGAGAGCATCAACAAGAGAAAGGCTCATACCTAACAGCTAATATCTGCAGAACATGTGTTTCTGCTCAATTTCTGCACCTTTAATGCTCCATCTGACACCGCAATTCTTTCCGCTGCATAACAGCCTGATTTGACTCATCTGTCTTACATCTAATTCAAGTTGAAGTCTATTAGGCAAGCCAATTCTGGCCTGTTTGTGTCCTTTCTCACAAATTATTGTAGCTGATTCTCATGCCCTATAGTTTTTGTTTTGTTTTGTTTTTTTCTGGGAAGCAATAGCTTAAAAAAATCCTGCAGATTTTAAAGGAGATGCCATATTCTTTTTTGTGAAGTTTTAAAGGAAAGATGACAATTTGGAATCCTCACAGGACAACAAGTGTCCATGCAACAAAAATGATGTACTGTAGTTTTTTTTAAAGAAACCATGAAGCCGAGGGTGTCTGCTTTCTCAAACACACAGCAAATTCTTTGGAAATCTGTGCAGTTCTTAATAAACTCAGGCCAGGCTCTCACAGCTCAAAATGCAAGTTGCTCAGAGCAACAGCCTTGGCAACATCCTGAGACGGTGTTGTTATGCTTTTCGCACGTACCACGCATGATCCCTGTGACGAACACTGTTGGCTTGACCTTAAACACGTACCCAGCTTCCCCTACTCCTCCCACACGCTACTGCCACTGTGGTCCCCGCTGGCGTCAAGACTCTGTCCTCGCTCGGCTCCTGGGTCTGCATTTGCCCCCACCCTGGCCCCTTCCCCGAGTCTGTTTTTAACAAAATGGTCAGAGTGGTCCTTCTAAGTCTAAATCAGATCATGTCACACCTCTGCCCGAAACCTGCCACGGTCCTCCCCCCTCACACAGATAAAATAAAACCCCAATCCTCTCAGTGGCCTGCCAGGCCACAGGGGCTCTGGTCTCCCCACCTCTCCAGCCTTCTCTGTACGTGCATCTTGACTCTGCTGCTGCCACGGGTCCCTCGAGGCTGCTCAAACAAGCCAGTGGTGGCCCTGCCTCAGGGCATTTGCACTTGCCATTCCCTCTGCCTGGAGCATCTCCCCCCAGATATTAGCCTGTCTCTCCTGCCTTCATGGCTTCCAGGTCTCTGGTCCATGCCAACGTCCTCTGAGGAGCCCCCTGCACCCCAACCCCCCATTCCTGGCCTAACTTTCCTTCTTAGCACAAGCCACCTCCCCATACACACTAGATATACTTTGTTTCCATATTGATCATCCTTGACTGGAATGTGAACTCCACAGTGTCAGGACCTTCACCTTTGACCCCCCCCTCACCTCAGTTCTATACTTTGAGCCTAGAACAGTGCCTGGAACAAGGCAGACACAGAGTAACTTTTTTTTTTTTGAGACAGAGTCTCGCTTTGTTGTCCAGGCTAGAGTGAGTGCCGTGGTGTCAGCCTAGCTCACAGCAACCTCAAACTCCTGGGCTCAAGCGATTCTCCTGCCTCAGCCTCCTGAGTAGCTGGGACTACAGCTATTGGGACTACAGCTGGGACTACATGTGCCACCATGCCCGGCTAATTTTTTCTACATATATTAGTTGGCCAATTAATTTCTTCCTATTTATAGTAGAGACGGGGTCTCACTCTTGCTCAGATTGGTTTTGAACTCCTGAACTCAAACGATCCGCCCGCCTCGGCCTCCCAGAGAGCTAGGATTACAGGCGTGAGCCACTGTGCCCAGCCCGGCAACTTCTTATATGAATGAATGAGGGCTCAGCTGGGACACCAAGCCAGACAGCATTCCCTGGAGTCCCAAATGCCGAGGAGGTGTGACGCTGGAACCTCAGGGTGTCCAGATGTATTAATAGAAAAACCCAGAGCCTCAGAGTTCCATGAAACCTTTTGTTTTCTTTCAAATTTTAGCACCTCCTGCCTTTTGCTTGGCATGTGTTGCTTTTAATCAGCATAACTTCGCCTGCTCAGCAGACACTGGAGCTCCCAGGTCCCCCAGACACCCATCTAGTCATGGAGCCCTTGGCACTTTGGAGAAAAAGAGGGTGACTGGAGAAATCGCTGCCTTTGTCAGTCGATACCAAGATATATGGCACCAAATATCAGCCAAAGATGGACCCATGCAATAAGGAGCTACTCGGCTGAAGCCTTTTGCATAATTGGAAGGCAAAGTTAACAGCAACAAGAAAAATTAACATGTGCGTCCAAGGGTTTATGTAGCAGATGCTGAAAAATAAACACAGGCGGGTGCCCAGGGAGCCCGCCTGACTGTTGCTTCTTCCAGAGTGACAGAGCAGAATGGGATGGGGGGAGGGGTGCGTTAGGTCAAAGTCAAGGGCTGTGGGGTCGGGGTCAGGGACTTGGGGTCTGGGACTCGGGCTAAAACCAGCTGCGCACTGTCCAGCTGTGGGGCCCTTGGCAAGGCTGCCCCAACCTTTCCCCAGTTCAGAAAGTGGAACAACATTAATGAGAAGCCTCAAGGCCCATCAGAGGGTCCAAAACCGCAGGGGACAGGACGACTTGGGTTTCCTGGCCGCACCCTCACAGGGCGCCTTCCCAGACAGGGCTCTGCTCCCTGGACACGCACGTGCTCCACGGAAGTGTCCCCTGGAGCCACTGAGCAGCTCCGGGATGGGTCCCGTTACTCTCCCACTTTCCAGACGAGGAACCAGACACGCAGAGGGGAGCCTTTCGCCCACGGCCACTGCGAAAGCAGCAGAGCTGGGATCAAACCCAGGCCACCACCCCAGAGTCCTGAGCCCAACTCCGGCTCCGTCCCATCGGCGGCTTGGCTTCTATGCAAGGACGATTTTCCTTCTGGCTATTGCTCATTTTATCATAGGTCACTGATGTCTGGGATATTCCTTGAGCCCTAGTTCCGAGGAGTCTGACAGGCTGATGCCCAGGTGGCTTGGGGGTGCCGTGAAGACCGGGTTTCCCTGAGCCCGGCAGCCCCAGGCCGGATGAGCTGCCTTCTGAGGACTCAGCGTCAGGGATGCAGCCACAGCGAGGGGTCGCTGCTCCAGCCGGAGGCGGGTGACGATGTCACATGATGCAAAAATCATGGGATGGTGGAAAAGGAATTTTCTGCAGGTCGTGAGATGCCAACCCCCTGCCCATCCCCCAGAACCCAAATGTGTAGGGAGAAAGGGGTGCAGCCGGATTCCAGAACATTTTACTAAAGGATCAGAGGAGGACGTCAGACCACAATTGCAGCAGTAGTTTCTCTTTAAGTCATTGAATTTCTACATGTTTTTACCAGCTAAGTTTAAAAAAATAATCCCTTAATAGGAGTTTGACTCCGTCAGCATGTCTGGGTCTGCACTTTTTCTACTCTTCTGAGACTGTGATGAGACCATGTTCAGTCTGTTTGAAATAATTCTAATTAAAGCAAACAAAACTGTGCCGTGGGCTTTGCTCTGTTACTTGAGAACTATCCTCTATTACTTGCATTCATTTGTCCATGAGCAGCTATTGCCTGTGGTCCTCCTTGAGCCTGGACAGTCACTGCGGTTACACCGCTCGGGGAAGCCTTTTCCCAGGGAGTCTGTGAGTGCCAGTGCCCTTGGGGAGGGGCAGGTGCCAGACAAGGAGAAGGTGGGGGCGGGGACGGGCTGGGCACAGGCGCCATCTGAGTGGCAGCTGCGCCCCCACCAGCCCTGTGGTGCCGTCCTGGACCCAGACTCTGTGTGGCCGCATCCTCCAGGTGGGTGCCACAGGGATCTTTCAGAACTGAGGAGAAAGTGTGTCAACTCATGGGAAAGCCCACTCCAAGGATGGCAAGAGAAAAGGCCGGCAGGGGGATGCTTAAATTAGAAACAGCCCCCTCGGTGCCCCTCTCCCTGTCTCCTAGTCCCCAAGAGGTCTGGGACAGCTGTGTCCCCCCTGGGTTTCAATCCAGGGTCAGAGGCAGGCTGAAGGTTCTCTCGGATATTATAGGCTCCCGCTTCAGCCTGTCCTCGGTGGGACCTGCTGGCGCTCAGAGGACTCACCTTCGCCCCACTCTGCTGAACTCCGGAGCCGCAGCTGCTGCCCACTCTGCAGATGCAGGCACCTCACGGAAGGTTCCTGCCGTGGGGCGTGGGCCCCTTGGGGAAATGCCCTCACACTTAGAGAGTCTGGTCGCACCACGGCTGAGTTACAGACAAGATATTTGTCAATGTCTTGACCTGGAACTTGTATCCTATTTTAAAGCTTAAGCCATCCTTTTACATATGTCAATAGTAGCTATTGATAATGTTAGCAACAACACAAGTGCAGACCTGTCTGCAGGCCCCCTGCATTTGTAGCTCATGCCCCTCCCCTTTTCCCCTTAATCCTCCTCCCCAGGGCTCCTGAGACAGAGCAGGCCTGTGGACCAGGCAGGGTTCTTCACAGCTGGTTTGATTGCTCAGGTCTGAGCCGGGCTCTCAATTTGGCTGCAAAGGTTAACTAAGCTCCATCCGCAGATCAATTAATCACTAACAAATGCCGGCAGCCCCTTTCAGGCCACAGGATGTGTTATAGACAGACTGCCAAGTCACTTGAAATCTGTGAACATTCAAATCGCTTCCGAGCTGAGTTCTATTCTAGAACGTGGCAATTTCGTACCTTTGTTCGGCTCTGATTCTTCATAAGCTGGTAATGGGTACATGGGGAGTGTAGAGTGAGATTGGATGGCTTCCATTTAGGACGACAGAAACGGACATTTGGACAGAAACAGCGGAATCGTCATTGACCTTCACAATGCCCCTGCACCTCCACGGCGGGAAGGGAGATCTCAAAAGACAAGCACGACACTGACAAGCGTCCGTGTTGTTAGTGAGGCACTCAGCTCGGCCGGCGCAAGGCCGGTCTGGCCAGGGATCCCTGAATTCCCACTTAAACGTGAGCTGCTTCCAAACAGGCGATTGCAGGCCTGGCGAAGGGGTGGGGAGGCAATCAGAGAGGAAGAAAACGGCTCATTTGCAAGTCCCTCTCACCATGCACTGACGAGAAGGATGACAGAATGGCAAAAGCTTGCATTGGCCCAGCATTAGCCAGAAATTCACTCTCAGAAATCGACATGTCCCTTTTTCACACGTTCATATGGCCGCTCTACTGTCTCTTCTGAATTTGACCCTCTGGCGCCCATTTCCCCACCTTCTGATAACCAGACCTGGTGGATACTCAGCCACTCGCCCCAGCCCATCACGGGGTTCAGGACGAGCTCTGGGTCTGGGGCTGAGGGCGGAGCACGTGACCTGGCCTGGCCAATCAGCTGGCAAATCCCCCAGACCGGAAGGGGTTCGGGATGACACGAGTAGACTCCGCAGGGGGTGAGCCCTGTCCCCGGAGCGGGCGCGGCGGGGAGAGTCGCTCCCTGGGGCAGATGCAGCCGGATGCCCACCCAACGGCTCCCGCCCCGCTCCCGCCCCAGTCCAGAGGCCGAGACCCCTGTTTCCTGCTTCCCATCCTCCTCTGCAGCAAGGGCAGTCATGTGACCCGGCCCAGCCAGAGGAATCTGAGGGGGCGTCTGTGGGGCGCACGCGTGGGGGGTGGGGGGTCCTGGGGAAGATTCGTTCCTGCCCCCTCCGTCTGGTAAAACAAAGGTGTGCTCGACAAGAGGTTTCCTTTCCTACCTTGGTCGGATGCTGCTGTGTGAACACAAGCAGCTTAGAGATGCAGCAGCTGTTTTTATACAAGAAAGCAAAAAAGAAAAGAAATATTCTCAGAGCTCTTATATTTAGAGTTACTGAATTACTCTCAGAACTAACTACCTTCAACCTTGTTGTGTGGAAAAAAAAAGAACCTTATAATTAAGCTACTTTTAGGCAAGATTTTGTTACTCATATTCAATCTCGTAAGTAGAGCTACTGGGAGCCGTGTTACTCTCTACTAGTCCTGGAGTGACACTGCCATAAAGAAGAGCAGAGCTGAAACATGTCCTGGTGGCTTTGAGACCCTAGATCCACCTGCACCTGAAGCCTTACCTCTGAGTTGTTCAGTTACATGAATGAGCCAATGCATATTTTTTTCTAATTATGTCAAGGTTAGGTTTCCCTCAGAATTGAACACATACAAACTTACAGCTTTTCAATAACAAAGGGTGGCATAAACAAAGACAAAAAAGAGATATCTGGCTCATGCATAACAAAGAATTAATTTAATATGCTGTAAAGCAATAAGAATACAAATAATTCAGTAGAAAAATGGATGAAGGAAATGAATGGATAGTTTGCAGAAGAGAAATGCAAATAACCAATAAACTCATAAAAAAGATGAGAATTTGACCTTTAATTAGACAAATGAAAATGACTATTAAATTCACTTATCAGATTGGCAAGGGGAAGCTTGCAGGGCTGTGAGTAAACTTGGCAATAGCTATCACATTAGAATAAGAATGCTCACACCTTTTGTGTAAATAGGGGTCCAGGCAGGAAAATAGAAAGCTCTCTAATATGCAAAACAAATGACAAGAATCAGTTCCACAGGTGACAGAAAGGCTAGAGGCCAAATCAGAAAAGAAGGAAGCCACTAGCAGCTCTAGGGATAATGAGAAAATGGAGAAGTATAATTCCTGGAACCCAGAGCTGGGGTCTTCCGGGAAAAGATAGAACCACACAGGGGCTCTTCTTCAGAGGTGGAAGCCATAGACAAGACACAGTCACTGTTCAAGGCAGGGCAAGAGAAGGACCAAAAAGAAAACCCGTGTCCAGACTTTCACTTCTAGAAAGATGGAGTAGGTGCACTTCCTGGTAAGTATGACTAAGTCTCCTGGCATGATATGTAAAAGAATCACAGAACTCTGAAAAGTGGAGGAAGAATGCAGACCAGTCAGGGACCCCAGGATAGGAGGAACGACAAGATAGTGAGTTCCTGGGGTTTGGTTTTTGTCTCATTTACCCTGGACTGGGTGCTGGAAAAGCTGGCAACCCAGAAATGCCAACAGGCACAGAGAAAAAGAAAATCTCGGGAAAAGCCTGCTTTCTCTAGCTGAAGAGCCAGAAACGGGGCAGCCTAGCAAGACAGAAAACATTTAGACGACAACCACCCCACTTGGGACAAACACACATTAAAAACCTCAGCCGCATCCCCAGCCAGGCTAGCAAAGACCAAGCGAGGAACCTGAACTTCCACCTCCACCCAGCAAGCAGTAGCAACGTGCCCAGACCCCCACTTGGGCGGTGTCAGAGAAGGCTGAGCGGGGAGCCTAGACTTCCACCCCCACCTGGTGTAACAAGCCTCCCACCCCCATTGTCCCAGTGAGGACGGGTGAGGGGCCCTAACAAGATGCCCCTGTGTCTCCAAGACAGGGTGCTGGGGGCAGAAAGTCTTTGGGAAACTGAGCCTCCATCCCCAGCCAGTAATAACGAGGTACCCCTCCCACTGTTAACGGAAACTCAGTGCTTGTCCACAATGCCGAATCAGAAGAACGAGGACAAGCGTTTTGGGGAGGAGGAAAGAGAATTTTTATTACTTTGTCTGTAAAGGAGGAAAAACAGCAGACCTTCTCATCTCAAAATCCAAATTTCCTGCACATAAGCAGAAATACAGACCTTACCCCTCAGTTGTAGGCTATTGTGGTTAATGACTCTAATCATCCCATCTCTGCCAAAGACAAAGCCTGTGACCTTGCCAGCCACCCACCTGTGGGGCTGGTGCCACCTGGGATGCAAGAACAAAGGCCTCCTCCCAGCTCCTCCCAACCACTGCCCTGAGGCAGGGATGCAGGTTTCCATCTCAAAAAGAGTGGGGGAAGTTTTAAAGAAAATATCTTTGCCAATTTTTTTTCTCAGGGCCATTCTGTTACACCACCCCAGGGTGTAAACAAAGCCAAGTGGGAACCCAGGACACCACCCCAGCCTGGCCATAAGAGGCTCTGTGGCCCCTCCCCCACCTGCTAGCACGTGGGAGTTAGGTAAGATCCAGAGTCTCCAAGTATGATAGGGACACATCAAGGACACCATGGAAAATCACTCCTCTCACCAAGAACCAGGAACGTCTCAACCTGAGTGGGAAGAGACAATCAACAGATGCCAACATCAAGATAACACAGATATGGAATTATCTCCCAGTTATTTTAAAGCAGGCATTGTAAAAATACTTCCATGAGCAATAACAAATGCACTAGAAATGAGTGAAAATATAGAAAGTCTCACCAAAGAAATGTAAAGTTTCGGTAAAGAAATAGAAAATATAACAAAGAACCAAGTGGAAATTTTAGAACCAAGAAAACGCAATAACCAAAATTTTAGACTATTGAATAGTTGGATTCTATGGAAGAATGGAGCAGACAGAGGAAATCATAAGTGAGCTGGAAAAGGAAACAGTGGAAATTACCTATTCTGAACAACAGAATGAAAATAGAAAAACAATCGAACAAATAGCACTTGAAGGCTCGTTAGGAAAACTGCAGGCGCTGGCTCTTCCGTTCCCACCACGGATCTCTCCAGAAGCCACTGTTTTTATCTCTTTTAGCTGTTTATCGTTCAATCTCTATCTTTCTAAATAATGTGTTTATGTTGCTACTAGTCTATTTCTGTATTTTAAAAATTACCTATTGCCTATCTGCTACAGAACAATGAATATTTAGTTTAGGCCGGCGCCTTTCCCGTATTCTCGCCGCCTGTCATCCTGGTGGAGTTTCCAAGGCTTCACGCAGCGTTCCCACTACCATAATTGGGTAAAAAGCATTCACAGTCGACACACGTGGCGTAGACTTTAATTGCCTTGCTTCTGCAGCTGTATTGTTCTCCCTAGAAATCACTGATCTACTCCCACTTCCTTCGTTTTCTCTGTAGCTGTCACTAATCCATCACTGAGTTCTCTGCGCTGACCACAACCCACCTGTCAATATGATCACGTGTCAGGTAAGGGCACAGTTTTAGGTTTTCCTGGCTACATTCCTCCGGGGAATGGCTGCTCTCTGGATCTGCTTCCGAGCAGCGACCGGGACGTTTCCCTGGTGCTCCGGATGCGTCCTGGGACCCTCTCCCACATCCCAGGTCTGGGACCTCACAGCGTCTCCGTTCTTGATTCTCCCCTCCTTCTAAAGGAGAACGTCCACCCCCTGCAGCTTCCTGAGAAAAGGCACCCAGGAGCTGGTTCTCAGACATCTTGCAGGTCAGAAATGTCTTTATCCTGTCCTTGCCCGTGATCTACACCCTGCCTGTGTGTTACATTCTACCGAGAAGTCTGGAGGCGCCACTCCATTCTCGCTTCCAGAGTTCTTAGTTTCGGTCCTTAATTTGAGATCAGTTCCTGCGCTCTGGAGGCTTTTAGGGTTTTGTCTTCCTCTTGGATTTTTATGAATTCATCATGGCATTCCCAGAGCTGAGTCTTTCAAAATTAATAATTCTGGCACTGTGGGGGCCCAGAAAATACGTCTTTTAGATGTGTCGTTACAAACTACTCATAAAATTCCAATGGCACTACTTTCTTTTTCATAGAATTATGTAAAATCAGCATGGCCAGATTCATTGCCACCAGTGCCTTCCCAGATTGGACATGGGACCTTGGGCCACCATGCCGGGAGCCACCTCCGTGCTCCTCCAAAACTGTCAGGTGCTCCAGGAGAGACTCAGACCCCTGGGCATGTCACCTGGACAGCCTGACACAGAGCAGGCCCATGTTCCCCACCCTGGCCACCCTCCGCCAGAGGTGGGCCCTGGCAGAGCACCTTTGTGGTTCTAGAAGCACAGCCAGCCCTTCAGAGCACCTGGAGGCTGGCATGAGCCCCCTCCTGCCTCGGGCTACCACCCTGTTTTACCTTCTGTTGCTGAGGGCAGGGAACCTCCAGGAGACCAGGCGCAGGAAGGCAGCCAGCCCCGCGGCCTCTGAAACCACAGCCCTCCCCGGGGAAGCCCCCACGGTCCCCACTGTGTCCGGCAGGGCTCGGCCCTGCACACAGACGGACCTGGGGGAGGGGGGCGTCCTGGACGAGATGGAGCCTCCAGATCCCCACGCTGTGTCGGGCCCCTTCTCCCAGCGGGGCTCCACTCTGTTTTTAACTTTCTTTGCTGGAGCTACATGAATAAATAAACGCATGAGTATGCGGATGAATCCTGCCCTGTGTTGGGCTCCTAAGCCTAGCTGGTCTGCTTCAGGCTCTGAATAATTAAGATGAGGGAAGACCTCTGACTCCTGTGATCTGGGCTGTTGGCAGGAGGGCAAAGGTCCCTCGCTGAGCAATTATTTTACAATTTCTTGCATTGCATTGACTTGTGTACTGGCATTGGTCTCTTGCTAAGCTCTAAGCTCCACACAACTAAACTAATAGGTTAACAATTTATCCCTTGTCCTTGTCCGCTTGTTTCCATATAAGAGGTCACTGTTTCTCCAAGAGTGGTCTGGGGCTTATTAAAAATGCAGGTTCTCAAATTCCACTCCCCCAAATTACTAAAGTTGGACCCAGAGAAACAAATATCTTTGCTAAGTCTCCAGATGATTAATACACACCTACCTTTGGAACGCTCTGCAGACCAGGCAGCCCCCTGGGCAACCTTCCTGAGAACGTCTTTAGGTGGGATTTGTATGTAACTCAGCTCCCTGATGAACAGCACATATATGGTAATAATAATAATATTATTATAATGGCTCATATATGGCAATGATAACACAACGTAATACTGTAATAATAATAATACCACTATACTGTAATCGTAAGTTACAGAAACTATGGTGTTCTTTCCTTTAATCCAAACAAACAGAACATAAAAAACAAACCCATACAAAAAGTTTAGATAGGGGATAGGAGAAATGTCAAAAAGGAGTGTTAAAGGTTAACACTCGCCTAATGCAGCATCCATGTCTTGCTTACTGGGAGGGGCATTTTTTGAGGCAAGAAGCTAGGCTGACATTGATCACAAGGTGGTGACAGAGACGGTACCAGAGGACCAGGATCAGACTCTTGCTGGATGAGGGAGCTTACCACAGACGTCAGTTTCTTGAAGAAGGCATCTAGGGTTGTCTGCACAGCCTTTTTTGTTTTTTCATCATAAATGGCCTTGTAGCAGCTGATGTTCTCACCAACCGCATGGCAAACCTTTGGAAACTGCTGAATGCTGAGATCGTGCTCCTCAAGCTTAGCAAATCCTGCTTCAGTGAGATGGAAGGATTCAGCCCATTCTTTTGACATAAACTTTCTTGGCTCTGGATCTTCTGATTCTTTGTGTTCTTGTGTTTCTATCGGCTGCTTCTCTACCTGTGAGACCAGCCGCTGCGTAAAGATGCTACGCCAAGGAACGGTTTATGCCGTGTGGGTTTGTTCACATGCATGGAAGAAACTAGCTCCAGAATAATAATACTATTAGTTTAATTATTATAATTAAAATATATTAAATTTTATTATATAAAATTTAATTATATAAGTTTATTATATAAACTTTAATTATATAAGTTTATTATATAAAATTTATAATATAAAAATATATAATTAAAATATATTAAAATATAAAATAATAATTAGTTTAATTATTTAATTATAAATTATCCTTATGGGGAGCCTTCGCAGCCTGTTTGTAAGGATGGAATGCACACTGTAATCAGTTCATCCATAACCTGTAAAGTGCCTGTTTATAAGAAATAGACCTGTGTTTCTCTGCAGATAAAAAGTAATACTGGCCCTTCTCCTTGGAATTTAATCTGCTTACATTTAATGTAATTAGTTTTATGATTTAAGTTTAACTTTTTACTATTTGTTTCCTATTTGTATCACTTTTTCTTTCCTTTCTTATTTTATTTTGTATTAATCAAGTGGTTTTCTAAAAAAGTATCCTGTTTTGTAATCTTCCATTAGGTTGTCAGTTTAATTCTATTATTTGTTGATGTAAATCCTACAGATGACAATATATATCTCTGATTTATTAATGTCTATCTAAACTACAACTTTACCACTTGGACAATGGAAGAGCTTCAGAACTCTTTAAAATTATTTTACCTCTTTCTGGCTGTTGTATTATTCTTATCAAGTAATTTAATTCTCTCTCTCTGCATATGCATACATGTATGTGTGTGTGCACACACATGCACACGCACGTGCACACACACACACACACACACACATAGTGACCTCCACAGCTAATTACTATTGCTGTTCTCTGCACTGCTGGTGAATTTAACTTTCACAATGCATTTACCCTTTCTATTGCTCCTCATTCTTCCTTTAAAAATCCATTTAAAATCATTTTTCCTTTTGCCTGAAGAACTCCATTTAGCATTTATTTTAGTGCAGATCTACTGACAATGAATTATCTGTTTTTGCTTTTATGAAACCATTTATTTCTCATTAACTTTCAGAGGATATTTTTAATAGAGTAAAATTTGAGATTGACAGTTGTTTTCTTTCAGCATTTAAATATGTCCTTTCATTCTCTTCTGGTTCAATTCTTTCTGTTGCCAAGTTAGCTGCTTTCTTATTGTTTCTCCTTTAAAGGTAATGTCTTTAGTTCTCAGCAATCTTACTGTAATGGGAGTAGGTATATATTTCTTTCTCTTCATCTCGCTAGGGTTTCTTGATCCTGTGATTGCGTGACTTAATGTCTCTCATCAACTTTGGAGAATTCTCAGTTATGAATCTTCATATAGCATTTCCTCCTGATTTCCTCTCGTTTTAGGATTTAAGTTACACATGCAGTAGACCTTTCTGTCACCCTCCCTGTGGTCTAACGCTCTTTCAGGCATATGTGGTTCTTTCTAGTCTCGATGCTGCAGTGCGGACATTTCCAACAAACCTGTCTTCTGCTTTGTCCCATCTGCCGTTAGACCAAGCTATTGTATTTTCAATTAGTTACTGTATTTTTCAGTTAGCGAGTACTCATGTAGAATTTTTTTAGATATCCTATTTCTCTAATAAAATTCTTCACCTTATCATCTTTTTTTAATAAACATGTTATTAATAGATATTGTAAAGTTTATCTCTGCCTCGTTAACTAATCATCAGTGAGTTTTTTTCTTATAGACAGTTTTTTTCATACGGTTTTTGGTTATTTGGTCTTCCTTCCGATATGCGTCAATAGTTTTATAAATGCTTGGCATTTTTAAAACATATTGTGTCTCTGGATGATGTTACCTCTCTCCAGGGAAGATATTTAATTTATATAGAGGTGTATATTCTTTCCAGCAGCCTCTGTAGTGAGGACAAATTATCATGACTGTAATAATTCAAAGCTAATTTTTCATCTTTCTGAGATCTGGTTGATTTTGATTTGCTGTTCCTTCCCTAAGTCAAGTACTTTGAGGGACTCAACAGAAACCATTGTTTATTTCCATGGCTCCAACTGTTTAGGACCGATCGCTGAACTGTTTATTATAGTTTTGCTGTCGTGGCATCCTGATCCCGGGGGGAAGGTGGCTTCCTTTCTTAGCGCCCCCGCTGTACACTTTCTCCCTGGCTTCAGAGCCCACCACTCTGTGCAGCTTAGAAAAGAGCAAATGCCTCAAGAGGAAAGTACTACAGAAAATTAGACTCACTTCTAGAGGTTCTGTTTTCTCTAAGGTCTTGGAGTCTCAGATCCTGGCTTTCTCAGTGGCCCCAAACATCAAATTTTGTGATTTATGATCTTACTAAAAAGCTCTCAGTTCCTGTGACTCTTGCCGCTCTCCACTTACAAATTGGCAAGTTTTTGAAAGGAAAAAGAAATGGAGAATGTAAGGCTTATTTCAGAGTATGAAATATTTCCCTTCTCTCAGAGATCTTGGTCCCTCAAGCCCTGGTAGCCTAAGTCCCTCTCTGATGCTTTCAAATACACCTTTTCCCAGGTATATAGCTAGTTGTTCTGTTGGTCTTTACAGAAGATGTGATTATTTTTCTGAAAGCTGCCATCTCCATCTCTCGTAACAGGTAAGTGATAAATCACATTAGTTAATTGGGGCTCCTGGAAGTACAAAATGGCAATATTCCAGCGACAGACAAACCTTTACAGAGCACCTGTGCAGAGCTTTCAATTTTTTAATATGTAAGTTCTATTTTACATAAAAATACAAATGTTTAAAAGTGTGGTCCCTAATTACCTTTGAAACATTGTGCTTGAAAAAAACATTCAAAGCTAAGAAATTTGAGAAATTATAGCACAGATGATATCACATAGAGTTTAAAGTCTTACCACCTTGTATGAAATCCTGCTTTGCTCCTGCCTAGCAGGTGATGCATAGTAAGTAATCTAACCCCTTTTGGTCAGAGTTTTCCCATCTATGAAGTGGGCATGACAGGAGTGCCTATTTCATAGGATAGCTGGGAGAATTCGACAAGTTAACATACATGAAACATGTAGAATCCCAAATCATGAGTGCTAGGAAGGTGTTCACCAAACAAATGAGCAAAGCAGTTTGCAGGACACAGTCTCTCTTTAAGCTGAATCCAGCCCACAGTCCACCATGTTTAAACATCTGCCCTGGCCCAACCATCCTTACCCTATACATGGGGACAACACATGGCCCCTCCATACCCTACACATGGGGACAACGCATGGCCCCTCCTTATGCTACACATGGGCCAACACATGGCCCCCTTTACCCTACACATGGGGACAACACATGGCCCCTCCATACCCTACACATGGGGACAACACATGGCCCCTCCTTACCCTACACATGGGGACAACGCATGGCCCCTCCTTATGCTACACATGGGCCAACACATGGGCCAACACATGGCCCCCTTTACCCTACACATGGGGACAACACATGCCCCCCCACCCTACACATGGGGGCAAGTTTGAGGTACAGAAAGTGGAGGGGACCCGCTCAGGCATACATACAGCTTGTCAGTTGTAAAACTGGGTCTAGGGCTACAGTTTTATTTTGATGCATTTTATGGATTAAATCGCGTGCCCTGTAAGCCGAGCAGCT